AGTTGTATGACGGTAGATTTTTCGCTTCCCTTCCTCATCCTCCCTTCCTCTCTCCACTGCCCTCCAGCTGCCACTGCAGCACCATGTGGAATGAACGGAAGTGTGCTAAGCAGGTGTTTATATAGCCCTAAGAGTGTTATCACAACTATCCTGCTACAAAACATTGATATCTCAAATCCTGTAAGCTACCCGATTTGTTAGCGGTTTGTTTATCCCATGAGCTTCCTTCTCACTCACTTCATTTTGCGGACGGACACACATACATACATACACGCACACACACACACACACACACATACAGATACACAAACCGACACACAAAGTTAGCGCTTTATATAATAGAAGGATATACATCCCTTTCTACTTATTAATATTATGAATCAGTAGCTACAAGAATTTCATTGGCAGGCGGCGTGGGGGGGATGTCATTTGTGTGATGGTGTTGTTGCACTGACGCGCTTCTCGCGGTTTCTGAAGCAGACGGTAATTCTCCAGCTAACCAGAGCGGCTGCATGGCATCAGGCTCCTCCAAGTGTACTAAAAGCACTGATATTGTCATCGAATAGCTTCATAGCTTTGTATAGTACCATGCATGGCCGTAAGGTATGCTTCCTCCGAAGGGGTGGGGGACGAAAATACCTTTAAATTTTCTCTGTCTTCCCAACTGGAATTGTCCTGATAAAGGGCCTACATCTGATATATGTGTGTAGTGCTTAAAGTAAACATGCATTGAAAATGAAGAAACACGCACGATTATTGCTTTCGCAGAAGCTCGGGAGTGAGTAAGCAATATTATCTTCCCCTAACGTAAGTCTATTTTACTCAGGCTTAGCTTAGTGAAAGGAGGAACTCCAGGGTAGGCAAACTTGTTATTGGGGTAAGTAATAACAAAAATCGGCATACCCACTCGACTCACATGGCACCCAAACCCTACTCCTCCGTGATGGAGTATGGTTCGGTAGGACAGAAGAACCTCTGGTTTTTGCAGCGGAAACCCTAGGTCCGCCACTGATCAGGTGTGGACTAGAAGTCCCACAGAGAAAACGTTTCGCGCTGCAAAATGCGGCAAAGTCGCTTTCGGTCCTGGTGGACCACACCCTCCGTGAAGAGTCATCAATGCCCCATCAGTGGTGTTCGGTCTTTTCAAGCGTTTGTCATCTATGATGATGGAGGGATAACGCGGCTTGGTATCGTAAGCAGAGACCGAACCCAAAGGTGTATGTCGGACTCGGCGATTATGCAATCGCGACAGCCCTGTCGTTGTCGCGAATGCACAATCGCCGATGTGACATCCATTGAACCAAATTTGGCGACGAGTTCGACTTATAATTCAATATTTTCAGGATTAAAGCGCCAAGGTAAGGGCCATCATGACTGCTCAGAATATGGCTGAAGAGGTGAATCGCGACGAGCTCAAATATTTGGATCAGATTCGTGAAATTATCGACAATGGCAAATTACGTACTGATCGGACTGGAACTGGGACCTTGTCCATTTTTGGCATGCAGTCACGTTATAGTCTTCGGAATGGTAAGAATTCAGTTTGGTTACACTATTGTCATCTTTCAGCTTTACTCTTAGTCGTACGTATTCGTCTTGCACGCTGATGTTAGGCTGGTGTCAGAGTCCGCGATCCGTCGCAGGTTTCGCTGGTTTGCGCGATTTGCGCGATTTGCGCGATTCACGCGACGGGTCACGGAAATCACAAGTGCCCGATCAATACTGCAAGGTGTTCTCCAATCCTGCCGCCACTTCTGCTTGATAGTGATGGCTGAATGACGACTGCTCATGATTCCACTTGTTTCATATTCGGTGTTTCGAATGTTCGAGTCTTTTTCAGTTAGCGGGAGGCATCATGGTGAGTTTTCCCAGAAAGCTAGGGTAACTCCGAGCCTAGGGCGAGTGTAGCCAATCGAGGGCAGTCACTTGACATGCGTGAAAAGCTGGAATGTTCGAGTTCACCGAGAAAATGCATCACCCCCTAACTGGAATAGACCCGAATGTTCAAATGGGGCACTTGCATTTTTTGCGATCTGCGCGAATCGCGTAAATCGCGTTAATCGCTTACGCTTTGAAGAATTCGAATGATTGGAGTTCCGAAATATACTTGGTGACCATTACCAAGTAAAATTGTGCTCACCTAGTTCTGATTGAAACATTTTCTTGCTAGTATGCATCTACACAGGCATCTACAAGTGTCTTCGAGGGTTTACTGTTGAGTTGGAGGCAGATTACGGAGTAACTTTCACATTTTCGAGTGATTTTTTTTGCATTACAATTTATTTTTAGGAGTTGTCCCATTACTCACAACGAAACGCGTTTATTGGAAAGGTATCGTTGAAGAGCTGCTGTGGTTCATACGTGCTGATACAAACAGTAATCATCTCTCGGAGAAAAACGTAAAGGTGTGTGCTCATTTTCAATATGATCCCTCTTTACTGTTCTTAGAGAGCCCTATTTTGTCATCACAAGCCGAGCTTAGCCGGATGTTTTATGTGCTTGGTGTTTGCAGTTTGAGTATTGTGTGCTTCATCTTGGATATTTGTGGATCGAGTTAGAGAACCTTCGCAGCCTTTGATAAAACCTAGTTATATTGATATTGAGTGCATAGTCATCAGCTCGTGTAGAATTGACGAGCGCGTAATTGGTAATTGTCATAAATTAAACAGATAAAAGAACAACCTAATACGACCATTGTATTGCGTTGCCTTATATATGCTTGGTTAGTACTACTGTGAGAAGGCGCTTCCATTACAAAACCAAATTTGCAATGAAATGTTTACGTGCCTCCGAGGTCAGCACGAAGGTATGTAGAAACCAAGACTTGCAGTCACCTTGTCTAAGAGGAGGTGTTCATATAGGCCATGGTTCAAGTTGTGGTATTGTAATTCTTAAAGATTTTTTTTCTCATGATTTGGCTTTGTTCAACCACTTCGATAGTATGGGAAATTTGACGTTGACTAGCCTTTCGGGATAACCATGCTTCTTCAGACCGCGGGGGAGGGGGGGGTTCGCAGGAGAGAAAAGCGAGCTCAGCGCCGAAACATTTCGCTGCAGGACTTCGGTCACCGTCTTGATCCTGATGCGCCGGGCAGTGCTGCTACCAGTTACACACCGGGCATCGCATAACTTTCGTAATGCGAACTGCGGCGTAAAAGTTGCAGTTATCCAACAAAAACAAGTTTTTTGTTCTACGAAGACATGTGTAGAAACTGATTTCTTGTGATTGTTATAAATATAAAGCTTGTCATTACAGATATGGGATGCCAATGGATCGAGGGAATTTCTCGATAGCCTTGGCTTTACTGACAGAGAGCAAGGAGATCTTGGTCCTGTGTACGGATTTCAGGTTGGTGTTTTTACAAGAGAGATGAGGAACGGGTGTCAATTTTTTTTTTTGCAAACTGCATTGCTAATCCTATTGTAAATAAATACAGGGAGGTGCAGTGTTTTTTTCTTCTTCGATATCTGTGTTCCATTGCCAAGAAGTGCTCTTATAAATTCCTTTCAGTGGCGTCATTTTGGGGGGACTTAAGGGGCCGAATGCTGATTATGAAGGAGAAGGAGTCGATCAGCTTGCTGAGGTCATCCATCAGATTAAGACAAATCCAGATAGTCGACGAATCATTCTAAGCGCATGGAATCCATCAGGTATGCATATTTAATAACGAACTAGAAATCGTCATTTTCTGTTTGTCCTTAGCGGTTATATTTCGGTTGATACTTTAATCACGTGTGTTGTGCCTGTGCTCTATTCCACATTTTCAGATTTGAAAATCATGGCCCTTCCTCCATGTCACACACTCTGTCAGTTCTATGTTCAAGATGGAGAATTAAGCTGCCAGTTATATCAAAGAAGTGGAGACATGGTACTTCTGTTCGAGCTTTCTACCTGGCGCATCTTCTCGGGCTTGCGAGCCTTTCTGGGATTTTTGCGATAGGGAGGGGAGGGGTGTGGTAGGTATCACCGACCTAAATGAATTCTTCTCCAGGGAAGAGAAGCTCGCGGAGATGGTGTGTGAGCGCTGGATGTGGAATATATTACTAGTTCCCGAATTCGGGGAATTGTTTTCCCTGCGGAAATTCTGTAGGCGGCAGCAAACTGTCGCCACCAATTACTCTTGGATGCGGGCAGCTTATGGCGGTCTTTCCAGGGGGAGGAGGGGGGCATCATGATACAGGTTCTCGGTGTACTCGAACATTCCAGCTTTTCACGCATGTCAAATGACTGCCCTCACTCCCACCATCCCCATCCTAGGCTGGCTACATTCCCCTGGCTCGGAGTTACCTTAGCGTTCTGGAAAAACTGCATTGCGATGCCTCCCCCTAACTGTAATAGACCCCCACCTCATTCACCATTATGGTGATTATAATTTTTTCTGAATTATTCAGGGACTAGGCGTTCCTTTCAACATCGCCAGTTACGGTCTGTTCACACACATGATTGCTCATGTCTGTGGCCTCAAGGTCAGTTCCCTCCTTTCTTTGAAATAAATTGATAGTGGAATGGCAATATTATTGTTTTTTTACAGGGCGGTGATCTCGTCCATACACTGGGTGATGCTCATGTATATAAGAATCATATCGAGGCCCTGAAAATACAGGTATATTAGCGAGTCTTAATTAACTGAACTATTTTGGTCATTGCTAGCCATTGGCACTACTCAAGTCATCCTCAAAACTAAACGATTGAAAAGCTAAACCATAGTGTGTGTGACAGCAGCGAACAGTGGTGAGGCTGGTGTCACGATTGAGGAGTTTTGGAATGAATTCTGCTGGGTGCCTTTATGATTATTGAGAAATTTGCAGCTCGAACGAACACCTACCGCTTTTCCAACGATAGAATTCGGCGAAGGAATCAAGTACCATTGACGACTTCACTGCGGAAAAAATCATACTAAAGAACTATAACCCTCAAAAACCGATCAAGATGGAAATGGCAGTTTGACATGGATATTTTGGCCAGACGTTTTGTAACTCACACATTACTTCTTGTATTTCCCATCGGTTTTTCTCATTCATCTTGAGGAGTACTTTTTCTCGGTTTTGGAACCTTTTCTTTATCAATTATTTGCACCCAGTCAGGGATATGTTGTAACTAAGCATTTGATCCAGAATAACTCTAGCTCGGTACGCTTAATCCAGAACTAGAGTACATAGCTAAAACCACTTTTTTACACTTGCCGGTTTTCACGGACCACATTCAAGAAACCCTATAATTCTCGCACGCGTTTAGCAGGATCTTTTCTTCTAAATGTTTCGAAAAAACAATTGGAGCTTAGTTTTCTTTATTGCGCATGAAATTCCTTTATTACCACATTCACGCCGATGGCCGCCCATATGGGCTGCCAACAACATGCGCTCCTGGGACGATGGCAGCCCATATGGGCTGCCAACTGATAATCGCTTGCCAGGCGCTAGGAATGGACAGATAGGTGGGCAAACCTCGTAATCGAGTGTAAAATGCTTTTAAATTCCTTCACGGGGAAAGTGAATAAATGCTCTCTTTTCGTAACCACTATTTGTCGTTCTGATCGAAATCCTACTGTTATATGTTTAGATAATCTTTACGCATGAGACATTGCAGAAATTATTAAAAAACTTATAATAGATTATTAATTATTTTGTGACATTCATGTTTTTGTTCATTTACAAAACAAAATCTGGGGTTATGTGGTGAGGCGGCGGCGCCCACAAAATCGCGTCCGTCCCACGCGACCGAAAGTGGAAAAGGGGCGTCGTCGTGAATGTGTTAAAGTTACTAGGCCGCGTAGAAGAATCCTGTGAGAAGGAAAGGGAAAGATACTTCCGTGGATCTGGGATAGAGCTTAGCCGTAGAGAGTAGTTGGCATTCCGGGAGGCTGGACGCCTTATAATGGTACTGGTAATGCAAGCGGCAGGAGCTTTCGAACCGCTGAAATGGTGTCTTTAAAAGGGTTCCTTGTGAAACTACTCTGTTGTTAGCTCTTTAATCAATGACTTTCGCGTCATATCACACCTATGTATGCTATGCGAACCACTTTCTTTAGTAGTCAGTGATGAGAATCAATATTCACTGTATTTTATTCGCGTTTCTTGCTTGTCAAAGGAATTCCACTCTTAACATTCTCACATGGGTTGGTATTTTGTGAATGCTTTGCTTTGGCTATCAGAATTGAATAAAATATAATTTTTTTATTCTCGTATATCCATAATCACTCTCTTTTTGGGATAAGAATAGATGCTGAAGAGGAACAATTGTTCGTAATCTTTGCAGCGAAGCAGATGTGGACTATTAATCGGAATTTCACCTGGTTGTCTAATTATACCAATCCAAGTAATGCGAGTGTCAGAAGTTTGCGTATTACAGTAAAAAGTTGGTGCACATGGAAAGTCAAAAAGGAAAGCCACGATTATTGTAGCTAGTTAATCATTTCAATAGGGAATGCAGTAGCGGTTACTCCCACTTTTTATGTTCTTCGAACAATGTGAGTTAATCGATTTGTACGTGAAAACAAGGGTCGGCTGCTCAGAGCAAATCTATGTACATCGCTTTTAATAATGACATTTCTACAGTTATCGGGTGGAGCTGTAGATGTAAGTGTCATTGTGAGGAGCAGCGCAGTAGGAAGTGGAAATCCGGTGTTCCTTGAGCTGACATTTGGGAAACTAATCCTGAGCGGATTTACTTCAAAGCAAAGGAACTCATTGAGAATGCGAGATGTCAGTGATATGTCGGACGAAGAATTATACATTGAAGGAGTCGAGCACGAAAAATTCTTGCATTTTCTCCCAACATGAATACGACATTTGTGATCCCTAGAGACAGCGTACCAACTCCCACGCAGTACAATGCGAAACAAACAAACCTACGAAGCCCACTCTCTGTGGACGATCGCCGGTAGATAGGGCGGGACCAACGGGCGCATGTAAGTGGTTTGGGGCGGCCACGTATCAGCCGAAGCATTGAAAGACACAAATCAAAATGAATTGAAGTTGGACAATAGAGGCAAATTGATCGATAAAATAGGATGCTGTGGTAAGAGGTAAAATATTTTTGCCAAGAAGATTCAAGAAGCAGGTGGAAAGCGTTCGCGTCGTCAGATTTGTGCGAGCTGCTAACGGAATGATAATTGTTTGCGTAACATCACCTGATCTTTGTATTTTTCCACAAGCTGAAAATATCACTGCCGCCGATGGTCAGCGGTGCTGAGGCCTGCGACTATCTGGTGCAGTAACGCTAATTTTGCAGTACGGCGGTGGTTTCAACCAAGGATGTGACGGTGCGTCGAATTGATTGGTCTTGGATCTGCCGCATCGAACGAAGTAGATGCGAAGTAGGAACAATTACATGAGAAAAAAACAAAGAGCCGTGGATTAACTGAATATAAGGAACTTATTCTGCTGGCAGTAGACAATGGCACGAGGAGAAAATCGCGGCGGGCGAGGGAAAGGGTGAGAGAGGCATATACACCACGAGGGACATATACCAAGCGTAGTGCTGTGGACAGCGTATCATATGGCAAGGTTGCAGTGTGTAGAGGGCGGTTTATCGGATACTTGTGTTTTTGCCTCAATGGTACGCTTGCTAGAGCAGGAACATTAGAGGACACGGGTGAATGCCTCAGATCTAAACGTGCTAGAAAGGAGATGGAACCCGCGAGAGAGGCTAGAGGGCGGTTTTTATGCGTGCTAAGTTCAAGTAGTCGTCGACGGTTGGAGAAGGCTTCAAGCGGTCTGTGCGTCATTTTTGAATCGCGACAGAGTGCCACAGCAACTTCATATGCTCGGAGATGCTACACATTGTCGGGCGCAACATTGTTCTATGGATCTATCGGTTGGTGCAATGAATGCATCGGTTATGGTGCGTACACTGAGTTCGAGGGCAAAGATGCGTCCTTCATTTTGGGGCATTGGCGCGAGCTAACATCAGGAAAAGCAAGCCTTTGGACCTGGTATTGTGGGATGTGAGGTTGGGAACTACAAGCGAATGAGCCTCATGAGAGGGTTGATATGTTTTTATAAAGTAAGAGAGGAAGATTTTAGCGATGCTAATGAGAACCGCGCACGACATTAGGTTGCATTAACACGCCGACGACAGGCTGACGCGCGTGCGCTTCAGACACTCGAGGACATTCACCGTCAGCATATGCGGCAACATATTCCGCGCGTTGGCTTAAATCCGAAGCGATTCTTCGCGATTGCGTTTTGCGCCTATTCTATAGCGCAATCACTTAGAATACTGAAGAAACTAATTGCTTGACATAGAATGCGCTAATATATCTTCAATTGTGGCAGAGATTTTCAAGGCGTTGCGAATGTGCAATTACTTCGTTTTCTTTCTTACCGATAAAATATGTAGACAAAAGTAAATAGAAAGTGATACAAACCTATTTCATATGAAAGTCCTTCACACTGAAAAATCACGGTTCAAAATAATTTCGAAACTTTTAAAGGAATTAAGTAGACTTGCCTTTCATGGGCCTTAACAACGTGAGTTTCGATCAACTTTCCATGCTAGGATTTCCGATAATGTTAAACACATGAACATTACTGACACGTAAATGTTGTCGCACCTAAATACTGGACGTATTCACGGTCAAAATCGCACGGAATGAATCGTGAGACGAGGGCGGTTAAGCACACCCTCTGGTTCCACGATTCAAAAAGTCACACAAGCGATTTCGCCAACAGTGAATCTTTCTTCAGTGCCTTATTCACGAGCATTGCTCACTAGGAAAAAAGCTTGAAAGTGCACAATATCTCTCATTCTTTTAGGCCGCATTCATAGTTTGCGACTCCGGAGATTAGGATAGTATTGACGGCGAGATTAGGATAGTAGTAGATTAGGGATAGTAACAATAGTAGTAGAGTAGGAGATTGCGCTGACAAGATCAGATACGTATCGATTGAAATCGCCGGAGAGTAGTAGTATTGCGATATTCACGATATGTAGGGGAGTAGTAGAGTAGGAGATATAGGATAGTAGTAGGTTAGGATAGTGCGCTGACAATTAAATAGGTATTGACCGATACGCTTGAGCACGCCCTAATCTACTACTCGCCAGCGATTCCAATATCGGTCGCGGCCATTCTTGTTAGTCGCGCAATCTCCCTATCTACTTACTCTCTTAATATCCTAATCCTACTATGGCTAATGCTCGTCGGCGAACTGATGAAGGGCGGCCTTACTAATGCTTTCCAAGAACTGGTCTGTCACTCCCTCCATTTACAGTTATCAGATTTGCTGATAAGGGCTGGCTGAAGAAACGTCTGAAAGTGAATCAAAACTCGTACAAAACCAACTCTCGAGACAGCTGTGAAGTACTTGATTATGGAAAACCAGATTAGTCCGCCGCGTCACGGCGCGGACATTCCTTCTGCGCAGCTGTTCTAATCTCGCGCCTATGCTTATGCTATCCTCCTGGTGACACCAACACCTCGTAGAAGTGACGCGTATGCAACACAATGGTGTTTCAAACAGTAGAAGGGACACAATCATGATATGACGGTAGATTTTTCGCTTCCCTTCCTCATCCTCCCTTCCTCTCTCCACTGCCCTCCAGCTGCCACTGCAGCACCATGTGGAATGAACGGAAGTGTGCTAAGCAGGTGTTTATATAGCCCTGAGAGTGTTATCACAACTATCCTGCTACAAAACATTGATATCTCAAATCCTGTAAGCTACCCGATTTGTTAGCGGTTTGTTTATCCCATGAGCTTCCTTCTCACTCACTTCATTTTGCGGACGGACACACATACATACATACACACACACACATACAGATACACAAACCGACACACAAAGTTAGCGCTTTATAAATAGAAGGATAGTCCCCGTCAGCGCCGGACAAGATTGCGCTTTCCTGCGGAAGCTTTCTATCGCTCGGCCGC